CCCCCCCCCCCCCCCCGACTGAGCCCTGCCCCACAGAAGACTCCTGTGCACTGGGTTGGGGTCATGATCATTTCCCACATCCCTCCACCTGCTGCAGGTCCATCCGGCATCTGCAGGACGCATCTGGCACTGATGGGAAAGGTGAGGACCCCTCCTCTGGTTTCTTCCTGCCCTGCTTTCTCTCTGACACCAGGTGCCAGGGCCCTGTGTCTGCCCGGCTCTGGTTTTGTCTCCCTCGTCTGTCCCCTCCGTCACCTCTCCCCCTTACCAGTTGCTCTTGCTGCGGTTCATCCTGCTGCCCTGGAACTTTCCCCCCAGGCCCTGTCCCCTTCTCTGTTGCCCTCCCCTCCTGCCACTTTCAGTGACCCCACCCCACCCCCATTCTGTGCCCACCCACAGTGGCGGTGAACCTGGCCAAGCTGAAGTTGTTCCGGCATTACTACGTCATGGTAGGAGTCCTGCCCTCCCCCAGGCCCGAGTCCCTCCCTGCTGCCCTCTGTCCCTGACCCCCGAGCCTCACTCGTCCTCTGTCCCTATGCCCCGTGTGCCCCCAGGTCATCTGCTACATCTACTTCACGCGCATCATCGCCATCCTGCTGCGTGTGGCCGTGCCCTTCCAGTGGCAGTGGTTGTACCAGGTGAGTGGAGCCCAGCAGGGTCCCTAGGAGGGGTTGGGTCAGGAGTGTGAGTGGCCAGGGAGCGCCCCCTGAGCCCACGCTCCGGCCCCCAGCTCTTGGTGGAGAGTTCCACGCTGGCCTTCTTCGTGCTCACCGGCTACAAGTTCCAGCCAGCTGGGGACAACCCTTACCTGCAGCTACCGCAGGAGGATGAGGAAGATGTGCAGATGGAGCAAGTGTGAGCAAACTGGGGGGGTTGGGGCCAGACCAAAGTTAGGGGCTATGCTGGGGCAACAGGGCAGGATGGGATAAGGCCTTAGGCTGCTTCTGAGGGTGTGCCTAGGTGGGATTGTGGGTGTGGGGGGCCAAAAAAGGACTAAAGGTGGGGTGGGCGTAGCCTCGGAGTGGGGCAGAACTGGCTCTGGGGTGGGCTGAGGAGGAGGAGGGACGGGATCCAGGTGGTCCCCTGGGATCAGATTGGTGTGAGCAGCTTGGAGGGCTGGCAGGTCTGACGTCACTCCAGGGGCGGGATTAGAACAAGGAAAGGATGGGCTGTGACATCCGGGCATGGGGGCCTCAGGCAAGCTGGGCCAGGACCAGGCCACTCTGGAGTGGTGGGAGCCAGGCTGCCTTGACTGCAGGGTTGAGGCTGCCATATTGACTGCTGGGCTGGGTCTGGGGACGGAGGGGTGGATGGGAGCGGGCCGGGCCTGCTGTCCTTCAGCTGCTGCTGGACCCCGCTTCTGCCATGTGCCTCTCTCAGGATGACGGACTCTGGGTTTCGGGAAGGCCTGTCCAAAGTCAACAAGACAGCCAGTGGCCGGGAGCTGTCGTGACTTCCCTGCATCCAGCCAGCCACCCTCGGTCCTCCTGCACCCCGCACACCTACACTCACCTCCAGGGTGCAGGGAGCCCAGAGGCCCACGCCGACAAGGCACCCAGGACGCGGGTCCCCAAGGAGCCTTTCAGAAATAGGCGCTCTTCTCGCAGCACTGCAGGCCTGTCCTCACCAGGGGACACCTCGGCCCCGTTCAGAACAATAAGGACCAACCTTTCCTTTCACTTCTTGAGTTTCTTGATATTGAGGGGTTTGAGTGCCTAAGGCAAGCTGCATTTATGATCTAGAACCCTGAGTTCTCAGTCCACGTGGTGGCACATGTCTGTCATCCTGTTGCTCTGGAGATCCTCATGAAGCTCTGGGCTGACCAGTAAACAAAAATAAAGAGAAAGCAGAATTCACAGTGAGGAGAGGACGCTCTGCCGATGCTGTGCTGGGCCCTGGGTTGGCTGCTAGGGACAGTGTGACCAAAGTCCCACCCCCGGGCCCCCATCCCAACCTTCAGGGGTCTTTCAAGCCACCAGACCCAGGATGAGGGCCACACAGGGACTGACCCAGCCACAGAAGTCCGGAAGGTAAAGGAGAGATGAGAATGAACCGGTGTCCCCTGAAGACAGGCCCGAGTGTGCGACCAGGCTGGGGATGTGAAGCGCTGCCTGTGCCTGTGCCGGACCGAATGCGGAGCCCGGAGCCTCCCCGAGATACCCCTGTGCTTGTCATCCTAGCGCCAGGGAGGTGGGGAGGGGCAGATCCCTGGGCCCCGCTGCCCAGCCAGCCTAGCCTACTTCTTGCAGCCCAGGCCCTTGAGACACCCTGTTTCAGAACTAGGGTAGGCGGCACCCAAGCAGCAGCAGCGAGGCTGACCTGTAGCTGTCCCTCCTGAGGACACAGTGCGGGGAGAGTGGTTAATGACTACCTTAGGCCACAGAGGACACTCATACCAAGGCATGGCGCTGCAAGCCTCTAACTCCAACATTCAAGAAACTGTGGCAGGAGAGTTACTATGATTAGAGGCTAGCCTGGGCAAAGAGTGAGATCCTGTTCATGTAGAAATGGATAGACATGGCCATAAGGGTCCAGCAACAGCCTTGGCCTGGCCTCTTGGGGACCCCCTTAGAGTTAACTCTCCTCTCGGTCCTCCCCTGAGGATGCCCAGGAGTGTCTTATAGAGCACAGAGACACCATGGCAGTGGGGGAGGTGGGGTAAGGAGAGGGAGGGGTGAGGGGCCAGATTAAGATTTCCACAGTAAGGAAGTGAGGCCAGCTGCAGCCCAGATGAACAAATAGCCCAGCCAGCGGAAGCATGGGAGGGTGTGAAATCAGGAGGTGGAAGGCAGTGTCAGGACTGGCCGGGGCAGCAGCAGACAGTCCTAAAAACAGACTGAGGCTTTGTGCCAGGGCCCACGAGAGCCATGCAAGAATCAAGAGGAAGGTCAGGGCCCCGTGTGGCTGTACACAAGGAAGTAGGCACAGAGATAAACTCCCACTCCAAAGATGGGCACACCCGGATCCTCCCCAGATGTGAATATGTCCCTCACAGCAGAAGGGAAGATCTGAAGGATGAAACCAATGTGAGGGCACCCTGGTGGAGCCGGCATCCTGACAGGGTTCACAAGGAAGAGAGCTGGGTCTGGTGGTGCACACCTTTAAACCCAGGAGGCAGAGGCAGGCTCTGAGTTCCAGGCCACCTGATCTACATAGAGTTCCAGGACAGCCAGGGCTACACAAAGAAACCCTCTCTCCAAATAAACAGAAAAAAAATCTGGACTGGAGAGGTGGCTCAGTGGTTAAGAGCACTGGCTGCTCTTGCAGAGGACCGGGGCTTAACTTTCAGCATCCATGTGGCAGCTCAAGACTATAACTCCATTTCCAGGAGTTCTAACCCCCTCACAGACACACACAGCCAAAACACCGAAGCACTTGAAGAAAGAAAAAAAGGTTAGAGGTGAGCTTGAGCAGAGGGCAGGAACCGCATAGTGTTCACACCTGTCCTCGTAGAAAGTGGTTTGTATAGTGAGAATGTCTCAAAAAAGAAAAGGAAAAAAAAAAAAAAAACAGGAGAAGGAAGAAAATGGAGGGGATGGGTGTCGGGCACCTACCTGAGTGTTCTGTCTGCAAGGTGCATTTCTCTGTCTCTGGAGACCAGGCTCAGACTCAGTACCTACAGGGGTGAGGAGGTGGGGGTGCTGCCCTGTGGCTGAACTCTGACCCTATCCTCCCCTCTTGTGTCACCTGGGGTGCTGCAGGCACCCCACAGCGCTCAGGGAGGAAGCCCTGGATGGTGCAGGGGTCAAGGTCCCTGAGAGTTAATGAGTTACTGGGTAGGAAGAGAGGTGACCCAGCCTGGACAGGAGTTCCAGGAAAGCGATGCAGTGGGGGGTCCTGGAAGTGGGGAAGCAGACAGGAGCCTGGCTTTCCAGCACAGAGGGGATCCTGTGGCTTTGGGGGGAGCGCCACACCCTACAGTCAGAGTGGACGGGTTCTGCCACCCGGAAATCAAGTCTGTCCCTTCTGTCACTCTGACACCAGAGCTCAGCACTGATAGAAGAGTCTGCAGCTCCCTCATTTGTGAGACAAGGTCTCTCTATAGGCCAGGCTGGCCTGGAACTCAGAGATCTGCCGTCCTCGGCCTGCCTGAAAGTGTGCACCACCACGCCGGGCACTTCTCTCCGTTTTTAAGTATGTTTGCTCAAAGAGAGTTTATGTGAATTATTTTATTATTTTTAGGCAGTGTCTGATGTAGACTAGGCTGGCCTTACACTCTCTCTGTAGCCAAGGATGACCTTAAGTTCCTGATCTCCCAGGCCCTGAGGTGTCAGGCCTAATCCACCACACCTGACTCGTGGAGTTTTGACACAAGGTCTCACTATGTAGCCCAGTCTGGCTTGGAACTCCTGCAATCCTCCTGCCTCAGTTTCTCAAGAGATGGCAGGCATGTGCCACCATGCCTGGCACTACTCTGTGTGTGTGTGTGTGTGTGTGTGTGTGTGTGTGTGTGTGTGTGTGTCCAAACTTCGTGTCCACTGTCTCCACTAGTCACTCTGGTCTTCTGTGTATTTACCAAGGCCTCTCACTGAACCCAGAGCTCACCGGCTCCCGGTCCAGCAAGCCAGCTTGCCCAGGGAATCCCTGCCGTGCCTCTGCTGGGTTATCAGAGGGTGATGCCAAATGGCAAAGCCACCAGCTTTGTGCCCACTGAGCCACCTCTCCAGGGCTTGCTATGCTCTCCAGGTTGGTCTCAAATGGCAGTCCTCCTTCCTCAGCTTCCCAAGTGTTGGAGTGACAGGTGGGGGGGGGCGGGCGCCCCCTTACCTGCCATGACTCTACCTTTTCATTTGTGTGTGAGGTGCAGGTTTTTGTTGTTGTCGTTGTTTTGTTTTGTTTTTAAGGCAAATACATTGCACAGATCTGATAAACAGCCTTGAGGCCAGAACCCTGGGCTCGTGGCCCCCTCCCTGGAAATCCCCTCACATGATTCCCACCATGCTGGCTCAGCATGCCCACTCTCCCTCCCGATGTTCTGACACAAGTTCTTCTTTCCCCAGAGGGGAGTCACAGGATTCAAGAATTCCTCAACTCTCTATCTCTCCTCTGACTCTCTCCCTCCCAGTGGGCCCTGATCCAATCCTGCCTTCCTGGTTATCTCCCAGCACTAAATGCTGCAGTCCCAGTCTGGTGACTTCCCAGATCAGGATGGGGCCCAGACCCTTCCCACATTCCCAGCCAGGAATGACTGTTAACCATCAAGTGGAGAATTGATCTTTCTCCCCCACCTCAGCCACGGGGCGGCTCCTTTGTGCTCAGACCTGCCAGTCACCCACCTCCACCTTACATGGTAAACAAGTCCACAAAGACAAACCAGATCCGGTAGCCAGAGAGAAGTCTCCACTGGCAAATCACAAAACCCTCCTATTTCAGGCTATAGCGAAACAGTGGGGCCAGAGAAAAGGCTGGGGGTGGGGTGGGGGACACTTGCTGGCCACCTCTACCCCGGGGACATTTCATAGTGGAAGGAGAGAAGGGACACCACACGCTGTCCTCTGACCTCCACACACGCAGGAGTATATGCAATCATAAATAAGATGCAATTTTAAAAAATGCGTTAAATAGAACAAAACCAAGGAACTGAGTGCCCGGGCCAGGGCAGAGGCAGAAGCAGAGGAAGGAAAGGGGGACACTTGGAGATCCAGTTTCAAAAGTTGGGCCCCAGTTTTGGAGGCAAGCTAATGCACCTCCCCTCCCCCCTCCTCCCTTCTCTCTCTCCCCTGTCCCCCCTCCCGTTCTGCCTTCCGCAGAAAGGATGTCGCAATCCTAGCTAAAAAACAAGCCAGGTTTGTTCTAACTCCCAGCCTCCCCTGTGCCCCCAGAGGCCAGGAAAACTGAGTGGTTTACAGGAAATCATGGCAAACTGTCCCCTTAAGCCCTTCGGGTCACAAATACCTGTCTTTGGATTGGGCATCACCACCTTGGTTCACAGTGTTCCCTCACAGTCATTCACAGCCCAGTCTCAGAGGACAGGGTGGTGGTGGTGGTGGTGGTGGGCGCCAGGGAGAGGCAGATAGGTAACTGCAGATAGATCCCAGTTACTCTCCAAGATTCTCAAAAGGTTCCCAGGCAAGTGGATGTGACCACCGATCCCCTCTGCATTCCAGAACCGAGGCTCCAGAGACCAAGGCACAGGTTTGCAGGTTGTGGGGCCAGCTTGGGCTAAGGAAACAGAAATATTGGGGTTCAAGTGGGTATGGTCACAGGTCACCGCAGCACCCCAGAGCTGGAGGCTCCGTGAATGCACTGCTCGCCTAGAATACATGACTGCTGGGTTCCACCCAAGAACCACATAAAGCAGGCCTGGTGACAACCTCTGTCACCCCAGCACTCAGGAGGTGAGGCGTAGGAGCAGGGGTTGAAGGTCATCTTTCTCTATCTGGAGACTTGGAAGCCAGCCCAGGCTACAGAAGACACTATCATAAAACAGGAAAAAAAAAAAAAAACCAGCTAGATTTGGAGGCCACCCCTTTAATCCCACCCAGCACTTTGCAGGCAAAGGCAGGAGGACCTCTGAGTTCTTAGCCAGCCCATACTACCTAGGACCCTCTCTCAAAAGATCTGAAATGCAGCAAGCATGGCCCAGTAGCCAGGCAGAAAGGGAAACTGGCAATTCATCTCCTGGAATTGACAACCCAGCCAGCAGGTGTCCAAATCTACGAAACCCTCAAAGAGAATGAGCTGGCAAGTTGTAGGGAGATTACCTACAGCAAACCCGGGAGACACCTGCTGTGTGGACAGTATGCTTTGCAGGAAGACATTGAGACCCATGCTCACCCCTGGCTGGTGAGTGGCAGGTCAGAGAGGAAGTGACTGCCCGAGAGGTGGGCCTCTGAGGGGCTGGTGACCATGGCAACTATCC